ACACACACACATACACATACAATCAAGTTTACAGACACGTATATATAACACATTGCATGTATATATCTCTATACTAACTACTATGTTTGCGTAGTAAATATTACGTATTAGGCTCCTTCAATTCCACAATTTCAATTCACTCATCCTAGCCTACTTTCAGAATTTCCTTTATATTATATTATATTACATTATATTATATTTGATAAACCGAAAAAATGATCGATAGACAAATAAATCAACAGACAACAGAATTGCCGTGAGACCATGAGAGGAAGTACAACCTGTCATAAAGAATTACCAAACATGTACGAGATAAAAATAAAATGTAATGTTTAGAACGTTGACATTAGTGATACTTAAATTTATCAATAATCTCGTATACCTCGAAGGGTATTTCGCTCATGAATGATCAATTTCTGACATTTTTCTCGAAAACTAATATAATTTTTAACCCCGCTTATTTAGTTATTCTCCCACTCTCATTTTTCTGCTGCCATGTTTTTTCTTTCCTTTATTCTTTATTTTTTTACTTTTCACACCTCTCTTTTAATGGCAAGAAGTAAGTTTCCTTTTCAATTTTTAAAAAAGTTGAAGTAAAAGTTCCCATAAGACATATATGCCTTTAATTTCACTTACATATAAATTAAAATCTAAATGCTTCCTTTCCCGCGTCTTAAATCTAACTGTATTTTTTAGGATGTCGATGCTCCAGAAAAGTGAAACACTGTGGGTCACGAATTTATCGCTTGAATATGCGGATTATGCTTAAGTAAATATTTCATCTTTTCCTACTTCCCTTATGGCCTTCGCATAATTCTGATGATCAGAATATCAGCGCTGCTCAAACAATCAGAATTGCAATTAAGCGTAACATATTCAATGCATCTTTCCATTCTCTGTTTGCCATTCATTCCCATAAATTGGAATTTCAAATTTAGAAAATCAAACGCAAATTTTAATCATTTATTTGCATATAAGCAAGAAAAATTGGAACAGCCCTCAAACCATTATATTTAATGTAATTAGCAAGTTTGTTTGACATTTCTTCTTTCCTATACCAATACTATGGATATTCCCCCAATGAATTTTTCGCTTCAAATTCGGAAAATTCAAAAAACAGGTGAAAAAAGTGGAAATTTTCAAACACTTTTAACGAAAAAAGAGGGGAAAATGTAAAAGAACGGTGGATTTGCACAGCTGACCTCAATTTCACAAAAAGAAAAAAAGGTGAGGGTTCAGCGGAAAACGCGGGCAAGCAACACAATGACTAATTTATTTTAAATCTTACATAACACTGAAGGTCATTTTTTGCCCCAAAATTCCAAAAATTTGTGATCGAACAAAATGATTTACCATACTGTTTGGTTACTTTATGATACAATTGAAACTTTATAACTCAGCAAACTACATGCATTGAACCATTCGTCAGAAAAAGCTTGCAGTGGTAGTATTAGAAATTCCTTCAAATCGACTCCTTCTGTTGGTTAAATCTCAATTATACTAGTAAATATTTAAGATATATATCAAAAATTTTATAATCTTTGAACATCCCCCCGTCGTACTTATGTAAAATTGCCTAATCGCTAGATACCCATACCACATTGAAGTCATGGAAATGAGATGTGTCTGATATGAAAGAATAAAACAGTATGTTGATGTGACCAACAATTTCATTTTTTACACAACACCAATTGTATCCTGTCAAGAATTTATAAGCTTTACATCTCGATGATTTGTCGCCAGGTAGAAATTCTAAATACTTTAAAATAATGCTGGCATATGACAGCAACGAAATATATTTCCGGAAGCTTCAAATGTACAGAAATGACGTCATCGGTTGCATACTGCCCGGCTAAAGTTAGCAGGTGTAAACTATCTGCCAAGCAGATCATGCAGAAAGATTTGATTCATAGCTTCCAAAAAGCAAAATCTACGATCATAGCTACTGCTATACAAATTACAAGAGGTGAACACAGTAATAACAAGGATTAAGAAAATTATATAAATTTTTTAGAATCTTTTTCAGTTATCAAATATTTTCTGATTCCAAAGAAAGCTCTCCAATCTTAATTTTTATTGCAGTACTACCAAATAATTTTGATATTAATCAAGGAAAGCAAAACTGCAAAAGACCAGATTTTGAAGTAGAGAATTATTCTATTAAAATTGAATCTCAGCTTGAGATAAGATTACATTGCCTGAGAAATGGGATAAGATAAGCACATTGCCATAAGATCTGAGAAATCTTATTTCCGTTTCAAAAAAATTTGGATTGAATGAAAAATAAAATTCAGACCTTCAAGGCAACTGCCATCAATATCTTTGAAGACCGAATCATCCATCGTTGAACATCATCTGTTTTTATAAAATCCTGCAATAAGTGAATGAAATTAGAGACCAAATTGTTATTAATAACTAAATATTAGTTATTAATATGTTGTAATTCAAAGAATCAGCCGACAATTAAATAATTTAAACAATAAAACTGTTGAATAATTCCCGGGAATATGCTAATTTTAAATTCAACGAGACTAAGCGCAAAAAGCTTTAACGAAAATTAAATTTCGTTTTTTTAAAAAATTGATAAAGAGGGAGCTATTATCAATTCTCATCCGTCTTTAAAAAAGCAGCTGAATGATTTGAAAATTATACGAATGAATTATTACTGACTTATTAAACAAGTTCCATTGACGTGACCAAAGTAAGATTCGAAATAATTCTTAATGACAGATTTTTATTAATTAGTGTAAAAAATTAAAATAACGGTTGAAAAACTAAAATAAAATTTTGAAAGTTTCCATGAATAAATTACAAATAATTCAAAGACATCATCCACAATGGATAAGTTTGACAAAGATAAATGCGATATGATATTATAATACTGGTAAAGAATCAGTCATTAATTTGACAATTTCTGCAATCATTAGCCGTTATTATCTTTACAACTATCCATATATTACTCCCCACAATTCTTAGCAATCTCTGCGGTTTCTTCAAAGAGTAACTTCTATTGTCCTTCTACTTTCAATCACTGCACACATAATCACACATGATCATTATCTAAATTTTCTTGATCTGTCTACTCGAGCTTGCTCTTTCCTGAGTTACCATACTTACTATTTTTATCCATAAGATTCTATTCAATTCGAAAGCATTTTGCTTTTGATCTGAACTACCGTATAAAACTACTTCCAAGGAAAATATATTTTGCAAATACATTTTGGTAAAAGAATTTTACCGATGCATTACATGAAAGACGATACACTGCACCTGTCTTGCTATTATAGCAAAAAGATGTGGCACTTTTCCAAATGCATTACCGAAAAATTTGAACATCCGCAGAGCAACTACGCTATAACATTACTACTAAAATATCACGTAATTTCACAATTCCCATCACCACAACAACGCCATATCACACTTCCGTGACCCCGAAAGTGATTGTAGAAAAAAGAGCACGCATAGAATGTTACGCGTCGCGAGTGGCGTATGACAAACGGGCTACCATGCAAACAAAAATCCCACAGAGATATTAGTGTTTACAACATACTTACTTGATTACTTGTTTTGTTTCTCGAGAGTGGTCATATCTGCGTATCATTTATTTTAAAATTTCAACTTCGAAAAAACAAAAAAAGACAAATGACAGTTTTTTTGGGGCAAGCAAGAGTTCAAATTTGCACAATCTCAACATGCAAGCGATTGATAGAACTTAATCGGTATAGCTCTGACATTTAAAGTTTAACTTTAGACAGTAAAAACGTTCAAATGTAGCTTTACTGCCTTACTATTCAAGCTTACTTTTACAAAATGCTAATGTGAAACTCAAAAACAACTCATACAGTCAAGCAATGATCATATCGTTTTCAAAGCCCATCAGATATCGGGAATGGAAAGTGATAATTCAATTAACCATACTTTAACACCATTCCTTAATCTTTATCAAACAAAACATTTGACAAATTTATTCTGAAATCAAAAATATTCTTTAAATTAATTATCCTTGAATTGTTCCTCAAAGTTGCATAAAAATTAAACGTTAAACGTCTACATAATACGTCTGTAATTCTAAGCAAAATATAATTTGAAAGCTTAATTTGGGTCACTGTTAACTTAACGTAATGTCAAATGCGGTTGATACTGTCATGCTACGATGTCCAATCTGTGAACGTTGGCAATCGGTTCATGAAATGCACCAACTTTTACCTTGTTTACATCTGTTTTGTTCCACGTGTCTCAGTAGGAGGAGCACAGATAAGGTTATGCTGCGACTTACTTGAAAGAGAAACTTATTCATTTCTTGCAAAATCCTCTTTCATTCCATTTTTTTGAAAATAATCAACGTCAACAATCTCGGAATAAAATTTTTCGATTCTAAATTTATA